TATCAACAAAAAAATTATCAATCCAACGTTCAATGTCAGTTTAACGGCTCCCAGCCTCAATTAAATTATGATAATAAAACAAAATGTTGCAAACGTTTTTTTGTCAGCGTCTGTTGACTCGCAGGAGAAATGAGAATTCGGACCAACAAAAAACCGCCTGAACAACTTTTCTAAGCAGGAAACAATTAGGGCCAAATTTAAGAGAAAAACGTGAAAGAATGCAAAAAAGAGATTCAGATTTTTCAGCATTAGAAAAGGCAGATGCGCAAACAAAACAATAATTATCAAATTTGAAAAGGTTGTTGAAAAACAAAAACAGTGAAAACGGTCTCGCATTATTAGTATTGAACAAAATGATAAATACAACCGATTCGCCAGCACACATTCAGTCACACATCTTGCACTGCCATTCAAAAACCCCGCGTGTCAGGGTGAAATCGTGCGATACTGGCGAAAACTTGTCACTAGACCAGCCTGCGTTGATAAACTTGCCAATAAACCCACGATGTCTTCTTGTTGCAGTTGACTGCAAGTCCGGTTATTTCGGAGAACGTTCAAAAAATAATCGATAAAGTCTAGGTGGATAAAGTTAGTTAGGTCAAAAGATTTTGTTATACGGACAGCAAGGAAACGTCCTTAATTGCAGAGAGAAAATTTTTCCTTTAGAAAATTTGTATATAATTACTAAGAGGATAAACTCACATACTCTTAAAACTCAATACAAATCTTCCATCAAAGAGTTTTAAATTATTTTTACAAAAAGCAGATTGAGCTATAATTCTATAAGTCTCTAAAAATTCTATAATGAGTTTGAAGTAAGTCGAGAACTAGTGAAGAAAGATTCATAACGATAGTGACTGATGAATTTTCCAGCTTTATCGTTAATGTTGACCCCTCTTCTTTTTAAACACCCCAATTTCATCTGCATCGAAAGTTTAAATTAATAAAAAAGGTGGCCGACTTCAAAAATCTTCTCAGTAAAGAAAAAATTTGCCTTATAATTGGAAACTGTCAATTACAAAAATTACTTTCCTCACTCAGATCCGAATGTAAATAACACTAACTTCGTGTACTATGACAGACCATAAATATTTCAAGCACTCAAGTTTCTAGTTTTTTGAAGGTTCAAAGCTGTCAGAGATGGAAATTAATATCAAATAACAACTTCTACGAACAAGGAAGTTAGAAAGATTGCACATTCTCCAAACAAAGTTTTGCTGCAAGCTTATACGTTGACGTTTCGCTTGTTGAATTAAAGTGACGTTTTTTAAACTGGACATTATCCATTATTCAGTAGTCGAAGACACAAAAGTGCCGCTTTTATTAGTCTTTGATAAGTAAAACACTAACCATTGTAAAATCTTTCGTATTTTGGACTTTTCAATTCTTCTAAGAGTTCTGTGCTTTCGCGAACAGATACTGGAGAAATTGTTTCATTCAATGGCTGTGGCAAAGTTGTTTTAATTTCGGATTTTCAAAAAAAATTCAACAACTGGACAAATTGTTCCCATGTTACTACACTCAAGCAAACCTACAAAATTGGTTGGGGCCATTACAGGCAACGCCATTGTGGTTCTGGTGCATTAGCACTGGAATAAGGAAGAGTAACACTTCTATTGGCTCAGCATTTTGTGGGCAACAATTGTTCAGGGAGCTCCTAAACTGATAGCGGGTGCAACACAATCACCGTTAGAAAAGCAGTCAAAAAGCAGGTTGGAAGAGAAAGCCTCAAGAAAACCTTCTTTTGAAAATAATTTCAACTTTTCTAGTTACTTTTTAAAAAAATTCCAACCAGCGATATGACTCTTCTACTCTTCCGGTGTACCTATGATCGAGGTCAAAGTTACCGACGCTAGAAAAGCTTTCATCGATCCTCAAGGTACTCGTTCGGAAATAGACCTACAAATTGTTTTGAGCAATGGTAATGCGTCGAACGCCTGCTAAAGAAGCAGCAGACAGAAACACACTACTTTTTGTTATGAACACGTTATCTTCTTCTTGTTCATTGTCTTCAAATCGTAAGAAAAATAACTTGGCATTGAAGGTTTTCATTATGAAGACAACCTATCGGCCATTGATGGCAATGAAGGAAGAGTTGTTAGTAGAATTGCAATTTTTTTTGTAGTGTTAGCAGCACCTACTGACTAGTTTGACAATTGGAATGTCTCATAGACATTCTCCTAATAGTTTTATTGTCTTATTCGAACATGCAGCCAATCACTACCTGATTCAAATATTCGAAGCTAATCTCAGAAAGATGACTGTGACTGACTGTGTTCTCTAATTGATAAACATACAAAAACTATTCTAGCTACTGCAGGAGCACAACAGTCGCGATGAAGGTATGTTTTCACACTGGCCTTACAATAAAAAAAAGTCATCCAAAAACAACCTTCGATTTGAAAATTTTTTCCCTTTTCGACGATTTTTGTACAGTTTATTTTGGAAGCAAGGCCGCCGATGAAATTACTTCGGACATCGAGTGGTTCAACTATTGCAATGACGCTGATAACACTTCGCACGACTTACAACTTCTGTTTGGGGATTTTTGAAGCGGTTGTTTCTCAGAAACAGAGCTGCTCGAAGAAAAAGGATCTACCTCAAACCCGCCTATATTTAATCGACTAACCTAATCGAAAGCTTCGGAAGAAAGCAACAAAGAAAACCGAGCGCAAGAAAAAACAGAATATCAAATAATCTGTTTAGATTCGAACATTTTGATACGTTATTTATTGTTTTTTCTTTTGATACTTCAGTTAAAACATGCTGGGGTCCTGACCACTTACACTTAACCAGTTGGAACGAACTCGTATTGAGCTCATTCACTGGCATTACATGAACAGCTGGTTGCCTCAATCTAACTGTTAAATCAATCAAGGTGGGCAGTTTTTTATTCAGTTTTATTAAGCTTGAAAGTAACTTGACAAAATTAAAAATCAAGAACTGATAGCCACATGAAACTAAGACAGAAAAAATGTTCGGGAGTTTGTAGAATCAAATTTTTTTACTAAAGGTAATAACCTGCGGGAAAAGGGGCTGCTTCGCGGTAATTAGAAGGATTTCACTACAAAACACTGGATTTTTTTTAGACTAGATTGGAAATAAATGAACGACACGCTGGAACTAAACTAGAGTTTGCGTCATTTGCAATAGACGGAGTAACAAGCTTTCCGGTGACGAAATAAGGAACGCGGTCGAATGTACAAGTAGCAACGAAAGTTCCGAACGTTATTATTTTTTCCAGAAAAATTTGAATTAGTGGCACAATCGACAATCATAGAAAAAAAATAAGGTGGCCCACAGTTTTTTAAGAAATTGACTTCAAAAATCAATAGAAAAATCATTAAAATATTTTTAAAAACTTCAATTTTTTCCAAACTTTTAGCGGAATTTTCTTAAATTTCTGAAAGCTCCCAAAAAAGGCGCAAAAAAACCCAATTTTTTTTTTGAACTAAGCAAAATTTCCGTGGCTTAAAATAGGCGTAAGTCAGCTTTTTCAATGCTGCTCGCATGCTTCAATCGCTAGCGGTTAAGCTAGAGTTAGTATTTGCATTTTTTTCTCGAAATTAACTTTTCGAACATTTTTACTGCCGTTCAAATCACGTTTTTGATTTGATATATCACTTCATCCATTCTGAGGATAATTTGTGCGAACTGATTCTGCAGTGGAAACAATAAAAGAAAAAAAATAAAACACATTCATCCAGGGGCAGCCAATATGTAGTAATTTTCCAAAAAGTGCCGAAAAACAGCCTTTTTGACCAGCTCCTCAAGTCAACCCACAAACAACGCACCCGCCCCCGCCCCCGCACCCCAACCTATCTACACCCCCCCCCCCAACGTACCCCCAACCCACGGCGTTCCCCTCACGTACCCCCATCCCCCCACGTACCCCCCAACGACGACGTACCCCCCTCTCTGTAGTTAGGGGACAACCAACTCTAGTACGGGTAAGCGTGGGGGGGGGGGGGAGTTGGTGTGGGGTTTATAGGTAACTTTTTGTAATTTTTCATAACTCGATTGAAAATAGGAAAAAACGAAATTAAGCGAGAGAACAAAATAACTCACTTAATTTTAACAAAATTATGAAAAAGTGAAAACAACACACAAAAAGATTTGAATAAATAGATTATAATCCATTATAATCGATTAAAATGGATTATTTTTCTTTTGATAAGATTTTTTGAAAATAATCGATTATAATCAATTATATTGGGTTTTTATTGCTTAAAAAATAATATCATTATAAATTTTTGTTATTTTGTAGAGACTGACAATGAAAATCCAATATAATCAATTATTATCTATGAAACTTCAGTGCGGGTTTAAAATCGGAAAGCTTAAGCCATTCTGTCATGAAAAAGCGTGAAGAAAGCAAAAACGTAGGATGCACCTGGGGCAGTTCAATAGCCATAATTATATAGATACATTTTACAAATCGCAAGCTTAATTTAAAAAAATGCACATTCGCATTGAAAACTGCTTGGTACCTGAAAAACTCATCGTTCTTTTTTAACTGGTGTAAAATCATGCAGAAATTGTTTGCCTTTTTATAAAAATAGTTTTCTTAAAATTTCAAGCTAGGCGCTGCCAGGTCAATTATGTTGGGGTGAGAGGCGGTTTTCTGCCCTTAGCTAAAATAACAAGAAATTCAGGATGGATGAAATGATATAGCAAATACACAAACCATATGCGTTTTTCAGTTGAAATGAAATCAAGTTTGTTTAGAAACCGATATACCCAGCATGCTCCCAGCAGTGAAAACGACAATCTTATCGGCTCTTTTCCAGTTTCCCCCCCCCCCCCCCCCTTTCATTTTTTCTGAAATTCATTACATGAAAGTCTTTTAAAAACAATCTTTAGTGAACAGCTGAACAAATTTTCACAAAATTTCTAACATGAAATTTGCCGTGTGAACAATTTTTGAGCATCTCTTTTTGTAATTTAACAAAGGGGGGGGGGGACTGGAAAAGAGCCATCTTATCCAACAAAAAACTTACCCAAGTCTAAACGTTCAATTGAATATTTTATACATCTGAGAGTAAAACTATAGGAATTCAACAACATGCTTTTTGTACAGATCGGGCATATTCACGACATTTTGCAAAAATACTATTAAAAATTGAATATAATAAAACCAGCTGGTGTTCTAGCAAAAAAGTTGACTGCTTTGTGTTCAGTTTCCTTATCAGATGTTTTGGAGAGATTCAGAATAGGTAGATTTTCCCCCTCAATCGATCTTCTGGTAGATGCTCTTTTTTGGAGTATTCAACTTCGGCCCTTCAGTTTTTGTTCAAGATGTCTAATTATTTACTATATACTTGGGGTTAGTGGATCTGAGATGGGTCTTAGGGGAGGGTGTCGAGTGAGTGTTGATTGGTGTTCATTTTGGGGCTGTAGTGGTGCATGATCAAAATGAGGTGTAGTGTTGCAGCTGGAACCTCTTCACCTCCCCGTTCTTCACCCTGGCCCTGTCCTTCTCTGGGGAGATAGAGTGGGCCAGTTTTTCTCTCAGAGTATTTCCTGGACTGACTATGAATGTGTAGAGTGCCATGAAGGGAATGCACAGCATGGACGACAGAGTGATGCACCAGCCAATCAGTTCGCACCACCTGAAATAACAAACAGCTACAATAGCATGAAAAAAAGAGCTTTTTATCGTGAGTTATTCACGATAAAAAGCTAAAACTTGGTCAAAGCGGTCGCCTCAAAAGCATAGCCAACTTTTGACAATTAAACAAATGCAGTTTCTCAATTGTTTGAAACTTAACTCTGCGCACTAAGTGAATGGGTACTGGTACTGGGCTCTTAGCAACTATCTTTTCGCCGACTTTTAAGAAGCAAAGACTAGATGTTTCCAAAACATACTAAAAGTTCCCGAATATACTAACCGCTAGTGTCAAAAAACATTCCGGTGAAAAAGAACAACAGTTATTTGACATCCATCAATAACTCTCAGTGGTTATCATTAGAGATTTTGAAACTTTAACGTTTATCCAGCTTACGATTTTTTTTCTTCGAGTTACTGAAAAATTCGATGATCATGAATTGGATTAAGTTCATGATTAAAATCAGGGATGGAAGACGCCCTTTGATACTGTTTTAGGATGCCGATTTCCTTCACTGAAAAATGATTTGGACATGGACACTTACTTGGGGTAGACATACTCCTCATACATGGGGGGAGAGTATGTGGCTATGCAGGACAACAACACAGCCAGGAGGAAGAGGGGCGACACGAACTTCCACACGAAGCGCCATCCTCTTCCAGGGGTGAATCCCATCATCTCTTGGATGTCCTCACTGAACTGCTGCGTGCCGTAGAGCCAGAACACCCCAATGGCCTACAGCGGAGTCAGTTACTTCCAATAAAATCTGTCCCATTTAGAATACAGCTTGTGATACTGCTACTGCAATAGCAGTAGGATGATGTAACCGTAACCTTCAGTGAATTATTATACTATATTATCATAGTGTCCAAGGTCACGATATCTAAGACTTTGGTACACCGCTGAGAGTTCAGAGTACTGAAACCAAATCCGATCTCAGCCATTTAAAAGAATTGAGATAACTATTTATTCAAGTCCAAAAATAAATTCTTTTGAATTATCATTTAGTTTTTCAACAAGATACTTTGTAGGATATCAGTTGGCGCAGTCGGAAGGATTCTCAGCTCAGGACAATCGCACTGATATGAGAATACCAGTATTTTGGGCTACATCGAATTTGGACCCACCGTAGCAAACTAAAATCTGGTTAGAGCAATTTCTAATGGCAGTCACAGTTAAAGAAAATGTTAACCCAGAAATTATGCGACCCGGAAACGATGAGGATCCAAAAGACATACTGCAAGAATCACCACCAAGACCAAAAACACAAAAGAGGGAGAAGATAAAACTGCGAAAACAGCCAGAAATCTCAGAGATAAATTAGCAAGAGACCGGGTTATCCTGGATAATGAGGGGAGAATAACACGTAGGCCAAAGGTTGGTCACAATGTTTAATAAAATGAGGTACAGAAGAAGCTTGTATCCAGACTATTTCTCTCTTTAGGAATGGAAGGGAAGAAAATATTCTTACAGAAGAACCCCCTGCCGAAATTGCCAAAATGTCTTTCAAGGAAATCACTGAACTAGCACCGACTTCATGCTCAAGCAGTAAGATTGGAGTTAGAAACCTTAGAAACTTAGAAGTTAGACTTACTTATATCTAAGACGAAGAACATGACCTTACAGGTAACAATAACTTTCGAAACGCTTGCCTCCGAGGAAGTACTCAAGCGGGCCATAAAGTTTGATCATAGTAAATTGACCACAATGGCAATTCAAATTACGAATCTAGCAACAGCTACAGGGACGAGTACTAGTTATAATTCAGGATGGAAGATCACGCAGTAGCCAGTAATGGCAGAGCAAAATTCGAATGGAAGTACAGAGAAACAACTGTTCAAGAGGGAAAAGTATAGAACACCGAACAACACTAGATCCACTACTTCCAGTAGACAAACAAAACCCTGCAAAAAATGTGGACGTGCATTTGATTAGGGACAATTGAAATCTTGTCCAGCTATGCGGAAAACCTGCAAAAACGGCAAGAAACCTGACCACTTCGCGAAAATGTGCAGATCTCAGCAAAAAAGTGAAACTATGGAGGATTCGGACAAGTCGGAAGAAGAATGTGACCTTATCAAGGAAGTCTTTGAATCATGTAGAGATTTTGAAATAGTGTCAATACAACCACACTTATCAGAGGGTGAGAGAATCTCAAGAGAAGTTGGGGGGAGTATCCATGAGAGAAATGCGACAACGTTGGGAGAGAAGGTGAGCGTCCAAAAGATTGACCTACTCAGAGATCCAACGTCAAACGAAATAAAATCGCTCAAGGCCATGGTACGGATAGACAACCAGATAATTCAACTGACCGTAGATACGGGAAGTTCAGAGTATTTTCTAAACTGGTCGACAAGGAAAGAAATCATAGATAAATCGAAAAGGGCATGATTCATACCAGCCGAAAAATTAAACCTGGCGGCCCATTTTGTAGGTTACAACAAACAACCCATTTGTAATCTGGAAGTCTTTCATGACAAACCTACGATCTGCAGGCTGGGAAGTGAAAGATGCCATGTTCTTGGTGACAGAATGTAAAACCAGATGTATAATGGGTTTGGATCTCCAAGGACAAGTGGGGATATCGACCAGGCAGAAGCCAGCTCCAAGAGAACTGTCAAGGTTTGACGTGCTTATGTGTGAGCAGTCGGAAGGTTGGAAAAACAAAAATTAAATGCAAGACAAGGTAAAAATAAAATAAATTGTAAAATTGTTGTTAGAGGGTCATATTACTAAGTTGGATAAACGTACAAGCGATTGTTTGATACCTCAAATTGTAAAAACAGTCAAGATGGACGATTCGATAAAAACTGGCACTCGATGCAAAACCGATAAATAGGTCACTTTTTAAAAACAAATCTTGAATGCCGAGTTTTGACGAACTTATCGATGAAGTAGGTCAGATAGGTACTGAAAAAATGGGGCACTGTCTATTTCAAAATACTAGATTTGAAATATGCGTATAGTCAGTTAAAATTGGCTGCAGACACAGCTGGTCAGTGTAGTTTTTTTTATTGTCGGGGAAAACATCACGAGAACATATTAGTTCCTAACAGGGTTTTATGGTTTGGCCGACATGCCGGCCGAGTTCCAAGGGCCATGGACAAAACGATCAATCGCGGAAAGGTCACTTTTGTTTCCCAGACGATATTCTCATTGCATCAAACGGGGTTGAATCAGAACATGAAAAATTAGTAACGAAGGTACTAAAAAAATTTGAATGACGAAAACTAAGCGTTGAAAATCTCGAAAAATACTTTCTTTAAAAATCAGGTAGACTGGTTAGGACATCGTCTATCGGATTCGGGTATTACACCAAAATTCACGAAGACAGAAGCCATTCAAAATCTCAACCCACCTTAATCGTTAAAATAACTAAGATTTTTTCTTGGTAGTATAAATCACTCAGAAAAATCTATTTGAACGGCAGCAAGTCTGACGGATAAACACCACCAACGCCTAAAAGATGAAAATTAAAAAAGCTCAAAAACCATGAAACAACCATTAAAAAAAATCGAGAGGTGGAATGAATAAACAGTCGTTCTCAAGGTTATAAAAAATGCAGTAGCTAATTTATCAAAAGTACCTTACTACGACGCAAATTGGAAAACAAGGGTTAAATGCGACGCAAGCCACAATGATCTGGAGGCCACACTTGAGCAACAAACTGAAGATGGGTCGTGGGCTCCCATCTCGTTCGCATCTAGGTACCTAAATGTGCAAGAAAAAAATATTCCAAAAGTGAACTTGAGCTACTTGCAATTGTTTGGGCAATTGACAGATACAAACATTACTTACTCGGTAAAGAGTTTAACATTGCAACGGATCATAAAGCCTAAACATCAGCACTGGATGGGAACCAAACAAACAAAACGTATCAATCCTGGTTGACACGGTGGGTTGATAGGTTATTGCCCTATCCATTTAAAATAGATCACATTCCAGGGAAGGACATGGGCATTTTCGATTATTTATTGCGTGATCCGTATAATGATCCATGGCTCGAATCCAAGTTAGACAAAAAGTTTGTGGTAGCAACAATTAACTGTTTTCACAGAGCTTTAGACTGCATAAACAGTAGGCTAGAAAAAACTGGTTCGCTCAACCGGAATGAAATTATTCTAGAAAATTCTAGAAGGAATGTAGCGAATAGTTCATCTCCTCCTGGTTGCTATGGCAACCAAAACGGTCAAAAACGAACATAGCTCGACCGGAACGAAATAATTCAACATTCGTGACCGTCCAAACAGCTAAACAGCAGTTCTCAAAGAAAACCACACATTTTTTCTCCGTTTCAATTCAGCAACCAGTCGATCTGCAATACTGTAAAAACAATTCAAAATCCAGCGAGGAAAAAAACAGACTCACGGAAGGAGATGTCAGAAAAAAAATTATAACCGATCTTACGACTGTTGGTCAGATTCAACCCAGGAATGGAGAAGCGGGTACAGGGAGGAGAGTAACTTACACCCGCCGTGGAATCGATCCATGAACAACACAAACGATATGTCAGAAGAAGAAGAAATTACAGAAACATTACAGAGAACTAAAAAAATAATCAGAGGGATTCGACGGAACAGAGACAGCTCAGATAGTGAAATAGTGAAACGTGACCCCAGTCCAATTCAAGTGGCAACTGTCGGAGGAACAGCATTGAGAGGCGGACAGCAAATTACTATCATTCTGGCAAATGATTTGGTGGGAAGGAGTCGAGCACACCACCAAACAGCACCCGCGAACTGGGAGCCGCGACGGAGGAGAGCTCACTAGTGCCAATAAGTATATCACTGGCACAGCCAAAAGCAACACAAATGAACGAAGTACAGGTGATCCAAGTTGATCTTACGACGACAGATGATATTGACGACGAACAAGAGATCTGTACAATGGAACCACCTAGCAGAAGGACATAGAGTTCTTGAGAGGACCAGAAGATGCTAAGGCAGTCAAGAGAGGACACCTTGGATAATCTTTTGAAGCTTTTCGATAACAACCTCCTGGCTGAGCTAATGTCAGAAGATACCTGGTTGGATCGGCTCAGATGAGAAATAGAACGAGGAGAAAAACAGGGCTCCGAACTGATGAGATCATATACAAACCCTCTGTGGTCACAGACGGCGGTGCAAGATGACTGCATTCTGGTAGACAGCAGATTGGCCGTACCAGTAGAACTGCGACAGGCAGTTCTCAAAAGAATACATCGAGGACACCCGGGACAAGAATCTATGCTTGGGGTTTCATGATACCTGTGGTGGTTCCATATGCACAAGGACATATTAAATCTCACGGTAGAATGCCGTAGTTGCACCAGATATGGTACGAACGCAAAAAATCTATTCCTAAAAATCTGTAAAACCTCTACCATTGCTTACGCAGCCGGGTCAGGAAGTATAATTAGATTATGCGGGGCCGTTAAAAACCATAATCGAAAGAAATCTACCTACTAGTAGCTATAGATAGATTCTCGAAATTTCCGTCAGTGAAGGTCACGAAATCGACGAGTGGAGAGTGTACGGTAAAACTTTTGCGAACCTACATCAACAGACATGGCATTCTAAAATCAATCCGATCCGACCCCTTTTCGGGCTTCAAGGGGAAAACACTTTAAAAATTCTGTTCGTTTTGTTATATATTATTAAATGTCCTTATATTTGAAAACAAAATTGAACAAAAATTCTGTCCTTTGGGTGACCATCGTGGTTGCTGACTAGTCAAATGAACCATACAAACAATGA